ACTCCAACTCAAAAAAAAAAAAAAAAAAGCCCAGTTATTTCTTTCATAGAGTATATTTAAAATTTGTAACTAGACTGGTTTGCTTACTTGTTTATACGTTCCTATTACCTTGCAGACTCTATGTAATTGTGACTAGTGTCTGGACTGGGCTGGCAGTGTACATTTTTGTTGATTGAATCTATCCATTTGTTAAATATGTGTTAAGCACCCAGAGCATACCACTGGTGATAGGTTGTGACAGGCTGTAGGGAAACAATATTAAAAACACTGCTCTACCCTTTCATATTCCATAACCCGTGGGGGAACTGGCTTGGTTAACAATCAGGAAAAATACTGCGTGATAAGGACTAAAACAGGAGGTAAGCATAGGATGCTGTGGTAACATGTGAACCAGAGTTGTTGGTCTGAATAGCAGGTATCCCTGGAGCGATGGTATTTAAACTGAGAACAGTATGAAAAGTAGGCATCTGGCTGAATGAAAAGTGGAGAGCAGAGAGGTGAGTCTGCGGAGGGGGTGAGGCAGAATATGTAAGGGTTTTGAGATCCTGGTCTGGGGCCTGCATGTCTATTCTCATCCTCCAGAGAGTGAAGGAGAATAAAGATTGGTAAGGCTGAAGGAAATAAGCATGGGACAGATTATATAGGATATTGTGAGCAATAAGTTTTACTCTTCAGCGGACCAAGAAGAGTCATTAAAGTTCCATGATTGGCTGGGCGCGGTGGCTCATGCCTATAATCCCAGCACTTTGGGAGACTGAGGTGAGAGGATTACCTGAGCCCATGAATTCGAGACCAGCCTGGGAAACTTGGCGAGACCTCATCTCCACAATAAATCAAAAAATTAGCCAGGCGTGGTGGCATGTGCTGGTTTCAGCTACTTGGAAGGCTGAGGTGGAAGGATCACTTGAGCCCAGCACGTCGAGGCTTCATTGTGAGTGTGCCACTGTACTCCATCCAGCCTGGGTAACAGGGTGAGAATCCGACTTAAAACAAAAACAAAACAAAGTTCCATGATCGCCAGATAATCTCAACACTTTGGGAGGCCGAGGTAGGAGGATTACCTGAGCCCATGGGTTGGATACCAGCCTGGGCAACTTGGTGAGATCTCATCTCTACAATAAATCAAAAAATTAGCTGGATGTGGTGGCGTGTGCCTATAGTTACACATACTTGGCAGGCTGAGGTGGAAGGATCTCCTGAGCCTAGCAGGTTGAGGCTGCATTGGCGGTGAGTGTGCCACTGTACTCCGACCTGGGCGACAGAGTGAGACTCTGACTCGAAAAAAAAGTTCCATGATCACATTTGTACTTTAGAAAGATTACTCTGTAATTAGAATGGTTCTGAGGGGCAGTGGCAGAAGAGAAACATGGACAGAAGGTTCAAGGGAAATTAAGGAAATACAATCCACAGACTTGATGGACCAACTGGGAGTCATTATTTACACAGCCCTAACCAACTAGTTTAAAATAGAACTTTCTCATCCCTCCTCTAAGACCATTTTCCTATTCCTGTCATTTTACGACTCGCTATTTAATATGTACCCTTTGTGCTTCCAAAAAGGATTTAAGGAGGCTTACACTATAAACAAAAAGTAGGAACAGTAAATATAGAGACAGATCAGAGTAATTGTACCAAGAGCCTATGCTAAAATGGTAATAACAATTGATATTAAATTTAGCTGTGAGCTTTCTGGCAGCCAAATGCTTTTTCTTTAGTGAAAAAGCAGCATATAAGTTCTTCAAAAGAGACCAACTTATTCAGCATTAAATCTCAGGGAACATTTATCATTATGTCCTTATATAAGATGTATAAAATACAGTATAAAAAATTATATAAGGACATTTATCATTGTCCTTATATAAGATGTATAAAATCATTATGTCCTTATATAAGGTGATAGAAAAACATTCTTTTTTCTAGTCATGTCTATTAATGACTCAATAAAAGCCAAAAGAATGTAAATCCATAATTTAGCAAAAGCGTTTCAATTGGGCATTAAGCTAATGTGTGGTTGATGTACTACCCTTTGGTAATATGGCTTAATACCAGATAGAGCTGAGGGGATTAATGTGTTCCCAGGCTGTCCTCCACAAACATCAGTTGGGAGGAAGTGATAGTCATCATTGCAAGACTGAGCACTGACTGGCTTTGAGTGTCAACTATCTGTGTCATTTGCTTGCTTTGGCAGCATTCATACCAAGATTAGCCCTATTAGTCTGTATCACTGATTGAAGAGAGAGCCACATGTTTGAGGTGTCACCCAACATGGTTGACCCCCCCTTCCCCCAAGTGTTTTTTTTTTATTCTTTCTTTCCAGGGTGGCTGCCATCCTGTCCCTAATGTGTATCACATCAGGGCTAGGCTATACTTCATTCAGGGTCTTTACTCCAGCCACCTGACTACCTGTAGTGGTTCCTGAAATACCCCTTGTACACCCCACCCTTCTCCTAAGTCTTCAGTGACTCTCCATTATCTATGGCAGTAGTACTCAACTGTTTTTTGTCCCAACACACCTGAGGAATGATGCATATTTCTCTTAGTAACTTTAGATTACAGCAGTGATTATCAATGCTAGGAAAAGGAATGAGACGGAGGGGATTGAGAATCACAGAATCACTGGCCTGCAGGTTAAAATCAAAGTTCATTAGCCTAATATTTATTTTTATTTATTTATTTTTTGAGTTGGAGTCTCAGTCTGTCGCCCAGACTGGAGTGCAGTGGCACACTCCCGGCCACCGCAGCCTCGACCTGCTGGTCTCCGGCGATCCTTCCACCTCATCCTTCCGAGTAGCTGGAACTACAGGCGCACGCTACCACGCCTGGCTAATTTTTTGATTTATTGTAGAGATGAGGTCTCGCCAAGTTGCCCAGGTGGGTCTTGAACCCGCGGGTTCAGGCGTTCCACTCACCTCAGCCTCCCAAGGCACGGGATTACAGGCTGAGCCACCAAGCCCGGCTAGCCTAACATTTAAGTTTCTTCATAAATTGGATGCGATCTTCCTTTCAAATTGTGTAGTCCTACAAGATAGTCAGTGTTGGAATGAGGCTGTGCTGGAGCCAAAGAAGGCTCCTTGCCAGAGGTAAACCTTTACTTATGGCTAAATTTTTTCTTTTTTGAGTTGGAGTCTTACTCCGTTGCCCAGACTGGAGTGCAGTGGCACACTTCTGGCCACCGCAGCCTCGAACTGCTGGGCTCTGGTGATTTTTCCGCCTCAGCCTTCCAAGTAGCCAGAATTACAGGCACGTGCTACCACGCCTGGCTAGTTTATTTATTTATTTATTTATTGTAGAGACGAGGTCTAGCCAAGTTACCCAGGTGGGTCTCGAACCCACGGGCTCAGGCAGTGTACTCACCTCGGCCTCCCAAAGTGCTGGGATTACGGGCTGAGCCACTGAGCCCAGCCTAAATTTTTATTCCATAAACATGCTGTATACATTACTGCTTCTCTACCTTTGTTCCTGTTATTCCATCTACCCATAATTCTCTCTTCCCTCTTGGCTGTCTAAGCACTACCAGTGTTTTAAGTCATAGTTCAAGTCCTCTTCACCCTTCAGAGTCTAGAGCAGAATTCTACAAACTGCAACCTGCAGGCCAAACCTTGCCCAATGTTTTGTTTTGTTTTGTTTTGTTTTGTTTGAGTTGGAGTTTTACTCTGTCCCCCAGGCTGGAGTGCAGTGGCACGCTCATGTCCACGGCAGCCTCGACCTACTGGGTTCAGGTGATCCTTGTGCTTCTTCCTTCCAAGTAGCTGGAACTACAGGCTCTTGCTAACATGCCTGGCTTATTTTTTGATATATTATAGAGACAAGGTCTCACCAAGTTGCCCAGGCTGGTCTCGAACCCTTGAGCTCAGGCAGTTCTCTCGCCTTGGCCTCTCAAAGTGCTGGGATTACAGGTTTGAGCCACCGTGCCTGGCCTCCTTGCCCAATGTTTTAATATGACTCTTCACAGAAAAAGTTTCCTGACCTCTAGTCTAACAAATGAAAGTTTAAAGTTTAGACCTTTTCATATAACCGGCCCATAGCAAGTGTACCTCTTCTGATCTCCTATCGCATTTTATTGCCTTTTGGTACTTTATTTTATTTTATTTTTTGAGTTGGAGTCTCACTCTGTCGCTCAGGCTGGAATGCAGTGGCATGCTTACAGCCACTGTAGCCTCGACCTGCTGGCTCAGGCGATCCTTCCACTTCAGCCTTCCAAGTTGCTGGACCACCATGCCCACCATGCACCACCATGCCCAGCTAATTTTTTTGATTTATTGTAGAGACAGGTCTCACCAAGTTGCCCAGGCTGGTCTCAAACCCTTGGGCTCAGGCAGTTCTCTTGTCTTTGCCTCCCAAAGTGTTGGGATTACAGGGATGAGCTACTGTGCTTGGTCACCTTTTGGTACTTTATATGTTTTCTTGTGTTGGAACTTTTTTTTTTTTGAGTTGAGTCTCACTCTGTTGCCCAGACTGGAGTGCAGTGGCACGCTCCCAGCCACCGCAGCCTAGACCTGCTGGGCTCCGGCTATCCTTCCACCTCAGCCTTCCAAGTAGCCAGAACTACAGGCACACGCTACCACACCCGGCTAATTTTTGATTTATTGTAGAGATGTCTCACCAAGTTGCCCGGGTGGGTCTCAAACCCACAGGCTCAGGCAATCCACTCACCTCAGCCTCCCAACGTGCTGGGATTACAGGCTGAGCCACTGAGCCCAGCTGAA